TTATTGTCACATGACTTGTGCCACAGACACGAATAACATCCAGGTGGTATTCGACGCCGTCACCGACATCATCATTGCCAACAACCTCCGGGGCTGCGGCTTGTACTGACCTCTTGTCCTGTATAGCAACCTACTTGGTAATGATCCCAGCACTCAGAAAAGCTTGCACACACACACACACACACACACACCCCACTGGCAAATGCAAGTTGGTAAATAAACTTTAAAAAAAGGCGTAACAAAAACTTATATATATATATACAGATATATATTAAAAAATTCTTTTTAGTTTGTTCTAGAAAGAGTTTCAGACAGAACTGACCACCACCCCATTATCAAGGTTTTCCTGAGTCAGCCCATGAGCATGCAGGTGTGTGCCTGTGCGCACGCTCACACACACACACACACACACACACACACGAGCCGTGATGGAGTCCTGACTTAGGAGACCAGCCCCGTGGGTTCACCCTCTGAGACCCATGTCTGCGAGCAGGGGGAGGCCAAATGGCCTGGCATCGGTCCAGCCCCCGTCTCTGCTTCTACCCCCTGAGCTCTCAGTTCTGCCCGGCTCTCTGCAAATCCCAAAATCCTTTACAAAATGGCCAATGCCCAACCATCTCCCTGCCCTACACCCCCGACAACAACAGGAAAATTAAGGACGCTTCTCTGTGGGTGGTGGTGGTGGTGGTGGTGGTTCAAGGACTTAGAAGCATTGCTTTGAGCAGTCCCCTGCCTCCTGGTTTCTCTCTTCATGCTAACCAGGCAAGAGTCAGAAAAGGGAGGCTTGGTCGGCTTTGTCAGAGCAGCTGAGGGGAGGGACATGCAGGGCGCTATGGAGGGGGTGAGAGGGAGAAGGGGGCAGGAGGGCCCGCAGAGAGGGGCTGGATTGCATACCTGACCACGGGGGAGGCCTCAGGGGCCTGGGCTGGGCCTCCCTGGGGTTTCTTCTGATCTTCCTCCCATGCTGCCCCATCTTGCCCGCCTCCAACACATGAGCATTGTGCCAGGGTCTGTTGGTTGGTTGGTTTGTTGTTTTTTAAAAGCAAAGAAACTGGTCCGACTGGACCCCCTTATCTCTCTCTCTACAGACTGCTTCACGGACTCTCTGCTGTTGACCTTGATCTCCTGGTAGCATGACCTTTTGGCCTTTGTAAGACACACAGCCTTTCTGTATCCAGCCCCTGTCTAACCTATGACCCCAGAGTGACTGACGGCTGTGTATTTCTGTAGAATGCTGTAGAACCCGGTTTTAGTTGAGTCTCTACATTTAGAATTTGAAAGGAAAAAAAAAAAAAGAACGTCTCATGTGCTTTGTAGCTTAAAAGGAAAATGGAAAACTCACCATTACATCCATATTTCTTTCTCTCTCTCTCTTTTTTTGGAATAAAGAAACATACATCTGCACCTCCTCCACCATCTCACCTGGTGGCAGGTGTGGGGGCACATCCCTGCAGAGGTGCCAGGCCTACCTGTCCGCACCAGGTTTCCAGAATGTGCTCAGACCGGGCTGCGCATTGCACCCCACACCCCCCACACATACACACACCCCCCAGCCACTCCAGCTACACGCTCACCCCAGGTTTGTATAGGAAAAGCACAGCGCTCACTGGCCCGTAGCTGCCCAGAAGAATCCGGATCATATGTATAAAGAGCCCCATCGAAACAGTTTTCCCGCCAACCCCCTTTCTACAGACGCCCTTTGTCATTGTTTTCAGTTGTTGAGTTTTTCTCTTTGTCCTGATGAGCCCTGTGTGCCACATACCCGGTCAGCTTTCCTTGTCTTTGGGAGTCGGGGTTGCGGGTTTTTTTCCTTTGACGTTTTTGCTTCTCGGTCTCAGATGGATGCTCCCCGTGTGTGTGTGTGTCCTCCACCTTCTCCTCTGTCTCGGTGACCTGTGTCCACTCTTTCTCATGTGGGGAGGGATGTTTGTGCCACAGATAAAAAGAACAACAACAAAAAGAATCCCCCACATTTTTTTTAAATGCCACAAGATGGAAAAGAAAAACACGCAAAAACTTAACAAGCAAAGATGGAATGCAGTGTTTACACGAAAGCCAGTTTCCATGACCAGTCCTGTCATTTCTACTCTGACTCGTATTCAAACCCCAAACCTCTTCACGGTTTCACTTTTAAGACATTTGCTGAAGACCAGTCACAGCCATTTCAGATAAAAAAGGAGGTAAAACGACTAAACACAAAAAAATTAAAAATACAGGAAAAAAAAAACTTGGAAAAAAAAAAAAAAGCCCACGGTCTTTCTAAGCCTTTCTATTCCCAATCGGTGAGGTTTCTGTGATATCTTACACACTGCCAGTCTACTTCTCTGACTAATGGAAATTCATGTGTAGCTCAATAAAGAGAATGTTTGTCTGTACTCGGCTCCCACGCGCGGGCTTTGTTGTCACAGGACAGGGAAGGAGGGCTTGAGGGGGCTGCAGACCCTGGGGGGCTGGTGGGCAAGGCTGGAGGGGGCAGAGAGAGAACCCCCGCGACCTTCTCCGTGTGCCCTCGGTGCCGCCATCGAGGGGAGCCAGCTGGGCGCAAGGAGGGCAGAGTGGGCCATCCTGCCCACAGATGCCGGCTTCCTCCCGCTCCCTCCGGCTCCCGGCTCCTCCTCGCGTGCAGCTGGCTTTGTTTGTTCCTGAGGGTAACGTGCAATCGAGGATTGGAAGGGGAAACAGCTGGGAGGGCGGGTAATCCCAAATCTGCTAATACAGGCTTCTGTTACTCCTATTCCCAGTGCTTGCACCACAGTGGGATGGTCCCAAGAATGAGGCCAAATTGCCTGGACCCTCTGCCCCCAACTGGACATCTTTATTTTTTTTACATTTATTTTGTTATTGATTTCAGAGAGGAAGGGAGAGGGAGAGAAACATCAATGATGAGAATCATTGATCGGCTGCCTCCTGCACGCCCCCTACTGGGGATCCAGCCCGAAACCCTGGTGAGTGCCCTGACAGGGAATTGAACCAGGACCCTTCAGTCCACAGGCCGACGCTCTATCCACTGAGCCAAGCCAGCTAGGGCTTTTTTTTTCTTTTTTAACATATTTTTTATTGATTTCAGAGAGGAAGAGGGAGAGAAACATCAATGATGAGAATCATTGATTGGCTGCCTCCTGCACGCCCCCTACTGGGGATCCAGCCCGAAACCCTGGCAAGTGCCCTGACTGGGAATCCAACCGTGACCTCCTGGTTCATAGGTCGATGCTCAACCACTGAGCCACACCGACTGGGCCACTTGACCATCTTTAAAAGCCTATGTTACCGCTCCCAGGTGCTGGGAAGCCCCCTGCAGGCCAAACACACAAGGGGCGACTGATATCAGCACGCCTGGCACCGGAACCCAGTGCTGTCTCCCCCGGGCGGCAGCCTCACTACCGCTCTCCCAGGCTGCCAGGTGTTTGCTGTGGTAACTAGCAAATCGGTTGAGACGGAGACCTGGAGGGAAGGAGCACGACCCATCCAAGTCCTCGCGTCACATCCACAATCGCTCATTAGCCAAGCAGACAAGTGCTGCACCGTGCGGTCCAGGGAGAGAGGAGGGCCCCGGAGGTCAGGCCATTGGAACCCTCTCCACACCCCAACAGATGGGAACGGCCAGCCCGGGCAGTTCCAGGGCTTGTGAAGCTAGTGGAGGTGGGTAGGGGTGATACTGCTGCAGACACGGATAGCAAGCCAGTTCCCTCTGTTATAGAGAACCAGCTGGCCCTCGTCAGCCAGGACCAGCCTGCTGGTCAGCCAGGCCACACCAGTGCTTTTCCCACCAGCCCCCCTCACCCCAACTCACCTGCATAGGGAGGCCCACCAGCTCTGTTGATGGGAAGGTTGCACTCCCGGCCACAGCTTGGCCGTGACCGTCGGCATATGGCGTCACTGAAGTTTGCCAAAAGTGAGCCATGTCTGGCAGGGTTCTCTCCCAACAGAGCTTTCTTTGCCTGCTCTTCCTTAAAATGAGTCAGGAGCATCGTTTGAGGAGAGGATGCAGGGGGACCGATGCAGTTAGAGCGAGGAGCGTGGGGTCGAGCCCAAGGGGCTCTAACGCCCACTCGGGTCTGGAACCACTTCTGGGCGATGAGACGAGGCTTCCAGACGGAGGGCGTCCAGGCGGGCAGGCAGGTTATTCCGGAACAAGCTCAGCGCAAAGCCGTGGCTCCTTTTACCTGCTGGGCCGTTTCCGCAGGGCTCCCAGCTCCCCTCCCGTAATGGGGAGAATCACCCGAGAGAGGACCGTCTGCTGGCACACTGGGTGCCCAGCTCAAGCGGGAAATGAGGTCCAGGTCCAGGGGCCACCTGGGCACCTAGGACTCTAGCAACACAAAACGTCCACACAAAAGCCTCAAAACTTGGGAGGGTGGGGGGAGAGAACCAAGACCTCAACAAAATAGGACCCTAAAGAAGATGGAAGGCGTACTATAGACTACTTCCAAAGCCCACAGGCTCCCTGACTTGGAGGCAGCCAGGGCAGGGAGAGGCCATGGGATAGGGTCCCCAGGGGACCCTGGTCTAGCTCCTGCCACTGCCCTTGGGGTCTATCCCAGATGCCCCCAGAAGCGACAAAAGCCGAGTGGGTAGTACCCAGAATCCTTAGCTATCCAGATGCAAAGCCTAGCTGTGAGTCTAGGACTTCTCTCCTGGGTCACTCGACGCTGTGTGAGGCACCACGCCCGGCTTCCATCACTGTCACACTGCGAGCCGCCAGTGTCTCATGACCTCAAACTGCCTTCAAACAATTCCTCTTCTCACACATCTGAACATGTAATGTCATCTTTAATCGCGCAACCCGCAGGGCGTAAGGATGGAAACGGCACACAATCAGAACGGGACCGCGCGCCGGCACCTCCGGAGGAAACGCCTTAGCTCCCGCCGCACACAGCACACTAAGAATCGAGTTTGCTTTTTATTATTATTATTGTTTTACAATAAAAACAAACAGCTATGCTCTCAGCAAAACAAAACACATTTGTTTTTTAAAAAATCACAGAAATGTACTAACAGCATTTCAAAGGTAAGGCTTCTGAAAGGTTTATTGAAATAAATTATCTTGGCCTAGACATTTACTCATCACTCTTTTTTCAATTACTTTTCAACATTCTAGAAACTTTCCGTTTAAAATACATTTAACTTTGTCGATAATTTTAGGTAATACTGGATTCTCCCCCAAAGGACTATCATAACTGTTTTGAAACATTAAAAAAAGAAACTTAATCCGATAGGACACAAAACTGAACTATGTAACCTATCACTGCATGTTTCAAATCCTTGAAGTTAAATGTGGGATGAATTTGAAAAGGGCCAGGACCTGCGTCTGCTCCAAGCAGGTGGATGCCGCATCTTACCTTTCCGCATTTAATTACACCAACAGGAACACAGTGATGAGAATGATGGGCTCCAGAAAAGACGGGAAAGGTAGCTTTCATTTCTCCAGCAAAGCCCTCCAGAATGTCCTCTCCATCTCGTCGGGCCCACATTGTCCCCAAGGACAAACCCACAGCCGCTGGCATTGACTAATTTACTTGACCAAGGAATTCAAACCATAAACCAAAGCTTGCTGCGCACCCCTCAGTGCTGCCCGCCCCCCACACACATCTGGGGGCCAATGACACGCAGAGGAGAGGACAGACACACAGGGTGAACACGTGAAATGCAGCAGCACCGGCGTAAACGGAAATAAAACCAGCTTTGATTGGGGCTCAGAAAGGAAGTCCCGGATGGACTGGGACACACGGGTTACCAGCTCACACGCTACCCTGGCTGCTCCAGGTATCAAACCAAGAGTTTTCCCAAGATGCCCTGCCAGCCCATGGGTCCAGGGGCCCGGTTCCGGCCCCCGTGCCACTCTGAACGCCTCTGAGAACAGCATGAGACAGACCCTCCAGTGATGTGGCTCCCGCTGTACATCCCCCTCTTCATGAACCTGCCCCCACCCCTCTTCCTGCCAGATCGGGGGCTGAGACACCAGCACTGGCTGTGACTTATGCGTAAGGCAGTCATCGAAGCTGCTGGCCTCAGGGCCTCTGGCTGCCCACTGCCTCCTGGTCCTCCCCGCCCCCAAGAAGTCCAGGCAATGCCAGAAGAGATCATGCCTAGAGTTAACATGTGCAGTGTTTCTAACGGGAGAAGAAATGTCACATAGAAAGGGTTACAAAAGGATTACATTTGTCAGCTGTCCAAACACTATGAAGACCACATGCTTTGTACAGCGGCAATGCAGTCAGGCCCACGTCAGACGCGGGCGGCCAGGCAGGCCTCTTCGGTGGGCGCGCTGCTCGGGGAGGCGGCTGAGCAGGGCCAGGAAGCGCTAGGAGGTCTGCTGCTTCTGAAGTCTCCGTTCTGCGGCCGCAGCCAGCATCCTCCGACGCAGGGTCACAGGGTCGGAGGCCGTGCCTTCCGAGGCCAGGCAGCTCTCTGAGGCCGAGTCATCTTCAGAACTTCGGTTCAAGAACCGCCTTGAACAGAAAACAAAGGATTTGCTTGAGGCGCGAGGAAAGCTCTGGAACAGACACAGAAACACACAGGACGCAGCTCTTTTTCACCCCTTGTTTTGCAGGCACCTTCACGAAGCTGTCACTCAGCTCTACCCCATGAGAAAGACCCGCCCTGAGCAGAGGAGCAGATGTTCTCCACACGGGAGGAGGCGCGTCAGGAGGCAGCGCAGCTGTCCGTCCTCTGGCTGTCCCCTCCCCACAGTCACACACAGCACGAAGGCACCCCCTGCTCGAATGAACACAATGCTGGCCTGTCCCCAAGGGTTGAACTACAAAGCCTGGCACAGCCACAGGGACAGCCCCGGCCCCAGCTGCACCGACGCTCCCGGCTGGGCCCACGGCGTGTTGGCCTCTCCAAGTCTCGCTTCTTCAGCTGTAAGCCTGTCAAATGGGTACAATTGCAGTGCTCCCTCTCAGAGCTGTCAAGAGAGTCCAAATAACTGACAGAAAAAGCTTAGAGCACGCGGCACAGGAGTGCTGTCCGGGTACATGTGGCTGAAGATGTCACAGAAGACGGGTGACACGGCAGCTGCCGGAAGTCACCAGTGGAGCCTCTCAAGAGAGGTCTAAAGCCTGACTGTCTAGGTGGCATGGAGTGGTTGCCCACGTTGGCACCTGTGTGAGAAGACCTGCTGTGGGCCTGACGTGACCAGGGCCTTCGGGCCACTGGCTCTGACCGGGTTTAGACCGGCAGGGACGGAGGGCCCACTCACTTGCGCGCCTGCTGCAGGAGGTCGTCCTTCCGCTGGACCAGCATGCGCTGCCTCTCGTCGGCCGACTTGGAGAAGCGGCTGCCCCGGGCCTCGAAGTCCTCCCCCTCGCCGGGCTCCGCCTCCACCTCGCTGAAGTCCAGCGCCTCCTCCAGCCGAGGACTGAGGGCCAGCGGCACGCGCTTCGCCTGCACAGGAGGAAGCGAGGGGCCGGGTGAGCACAGGCCGCCTCCCGGGCAGGTGCCCGCCTGGCCAGAGGCCCCAGAGAGCAATCTCCTGGACCCCAAGCGGGGGCCGCACACTGGGCGTGGGCACCAGGAAGAACAGAACCTGACTCACACTGAGCAGGTACACGATCACACCCACGCCTGGGCACGGCACTTTGGAAAGAAAAACGTTACCCACCAGTTTGCATTCTGGGAATCTTCTGTTCAATTCTAGTAACTGCTCTACAATTTAAACACGTCTTATCATGCTCACCACACAAACTTTATCCCCTCTCCTGGCTCTGAAAACAGTCAAGCAGATAAAAAGAGTGAATTCTACGGATCTTTTTAAACAGAAGTAAGATCATGTGGCTCCTGGTGTAACAGGATATGAACATGGGATTCTCTCGGTTTGGGCCCCCACATGCGCAAGCAGGTGCCGACCAGCTACGCTCCTGTGACCAGACACAGACCCAGCTGCCCGGTGTCAGCATGGCTGCCACCTCCAGGCCACGACAGAGCCAGGGGAAGAGGCTGCGGACAGGCCTGTCTGCGCTTCTCCGTCACCCGCACCCACACCTCCCTGCCTCAGCCAAGCAAGTGAGGGATTTCAGAACAGTGTCGCCCGACTCATATCCCTCGAGTCTGGGGCACAGAGGGCCTGGTGTAACCAACACACTGAGAAATCGGTAGAAAGAAACTGGCTTATCGCAGGTTAACAACAAGGCTGTGATGAGAGCAAGTTTGGTTCCACTTGCTCTGTGTGTGGGGGAGCAGGTGTGGGTCCTGCCCAAGAGCGCCCCTCAGAGGGGGATGTGACCCCCATGCAGGGAGGGGTGGTCTTAAGAGCCAGCTCATGTTCCCAAGTGTAGCCAAGGTTTCTGGTACCCGAAGGGGCAGGGAGAGCTCAGAGGTAATGACACAGGGCACGCACATACACTGGGGTCACATGGCCATCCTAACCTCTCTCTCTCTCTGAGCCTGACCCTACAGGAGTTAGAAAGAACTGGTGGTGAGCGGAGGAGGATGCGCACAGCTGAGGCAGTTAACCTTAAACACTGAGACAGATGTGGCGCACGTCCTCTCTTAGGCTCTTGCCCTGAGCCCCACGGACTCTGTAAGAGGCAGGACTGAAGACCATTACCAGGCACACACGTCTCCTCCCCAACCCCGTACTCTCCCGCCCTCTGGCGTGCAGGCCTCACCTGGGCCGCAGTCTCTCCCTCGTCCAGGTCACCGTTGGGCCTGTCCGCAGGACTGTTCAGTGCAGGTCTGATGCCATCTGACCGCTGAAAGAGACAGCACCATGGTCAGTACAGAGCCGTCCGAGCCTAAACTGCAGGCACAGGGAAATCTGGAGGCAGAGGGAGCTACGGTCCCGCCTGTCTAAGCCCCAAGGCCTCCAGCACCGAGAAATGGAAACGCTGCTACGATTACAGACCGTGTCCCTTCTAATAGCAGTAACTGCACAATAACAAAGTGACAACAGCAGGTCACACGACTACAGGCTGTGGGAAGCCCCTGATCTCATCACCTCATTTATCTTAGTGTCTATGAAACAGGAGCTGTTGTTCTTTTCATTTCAGCCCTCAACCAACGATTTTGGGAATTGGTGTCTACACAGCAGCTCCTCAGCTGTCAGGAGGGACAATGCATTCAAAAGCTGGATCCCAGAAGCCCCCCGTGGGACCAGCTGTAGTCAGCCCCACCCGGAACCTGCTTGATAGCAAACCCCTTAGTAGCCACCTTCCCTTCCTCTTCTCACGGCCCCATGAGCCGCCTGTGTTTCCTGGGACACTTCCCAAATTAGTTACTGAATCCTTGTCCCAGGGTCTGCAGCTGGGACACCCAAAGCCAACGGCAAGGTCAAATAGGTAAGGACCGGCCAGCCACAGCGAGTATCCCCGCCACTTGACGCCGAAGCCAGGCTCATTCCCTCTGCAAAGATTCTCAAGTATTAGGGTTTTATTCATAATTTCCATGTTTTTATATACGGGAGTTGAATCATTTCTTGATAGATGATTCTCTGGTCCTGTCACAAAGCTTGCCTGTAAGATGTTAACATTTCCTATACCCATCAAAGGGGTTATGGATGATGGGCCAGGCTTTGGGTGTCCCAGCTGACCTTCTTAGAAAAGCCAAAACCTATACCCATCAAAGGGGTTATGGATGATGGGCCAGGAAACCTGACCTTCTTAGAAAAGCCAAGGGCACAAGCCTCACATGGCTACTGTAACGAATGGAACACCATGCCGATGCGCAAAGCCCACTGGGGCCGAGGGCGTTATCTCCTAGAGACGGGTCGGCAAACTACAGCCCATGGGCCAGATTCACCCTCCACCTGCCTTTAGAACTCAGGCTTTACTAGAACACAGCTGCCTTCGTGCTATGAGGCTACAGGTGAGAAGTTACAAAGAGGCTCAAGCCTAAACTAGTCCTATCTGCCCTTCACAGAAAAAGGATGCCAATCCTTGTCCAAAAGGAACCAATGCTATGACCTGCTGGACTGACAAGGTTGGGCTGGGTTGCAGGGTATGTCTACACACACACACACACACAAAATAACAATCTAAATACATTTGTTTCTGTCTTAATCCGAGCCTCTTTGGTAGGTCTGTTCTCAGTCATAATTTGGAAAGTCATTAGGCAAATTACAAAAACCCTTAATTAAATCATAAATAATATCTAGTTGTTAAAGTAACTAAAAGTCTGCCGAAACCGGTTTGGCTCAGTGGATAGAGCATCGGCCTGCGGATTGAAAGGTCCCAGGTTCGATTCTGGTCAAGGGCATGTACCTGGGTTGCGGGCACATCCCCAGTAGGAGATGTGCAAGAGGCAGCTGATCGATGTTTCTCTCTCATCGATGTTTCTAACTCTCTATCTCTCTCCCTTCCTCTCTGTAAAAAATCAATAAAATATATTTTAAAAAAAAGTAACTAAAAGTCTCTAGAGGATCAAATCTTTGTGAAGACAATCCCTCTGTCATGCTTAAGACCCCAGGTTACCTGTGTGGGAAAAGGTACTTGAATCCGTCCTTCTAAAATGTTGTCTGTGGTTATTTCAACTGAGCGTGTCAGCTGGAGGTCCTGCAGCACGAGCGGGTATGGGACCTGGGGAAACATCTCCTGGATCTGATGAGCCTAAAGGAATATAAAGGTAAAGGCCACAGAAACGTTCACTCTCAACAGCTCCTCCCGGAGGGGAGGGCCTGGTGTGGCAGGCTCTGGGCCCTGACTTGGCATCTGCCATGAAAGCAAAGGCAAGGGGCCACTTCTATTCTGCAGATCACCATGCACCACACTCCCATTTATACCTCTCCAGGACGCAACAGATAACTTGAGACATCGATTTGAAAATATAAAGGGACAGAAGTCCAACTGGATCCTAAAACAGGCTCAACGAGAATATTCCGGTTTTCAAAAGTGTGCATTAAGTTGGGTATAAAAATGTGTTCCCCTTAAAGACATAGTTCCAAAAGGAACAAACTTCTGACTCACACCTCATGGGTGAAATTCAAATGCATTTTGTCACATGAAAGAATCCCGACTCAAAAATTCCATTTATATGACACTTTGGAATAGCAAAATTATAGTGATTGCCAGAGGGTAGAGGTGGGGAGAGAAAGTGATTACAAAGGGGCACCATGGAATTTGGGGGGAAGAGGAATGGAACTGTTCTCTATGTTGATCATGGTGGTAGTTACACAACTATATGAGTTTGACAAAACTCACAGAACTGGATACTAAAAAGGGTGAATTTACTATATGTAAATGATACCTAATGTGAATAAAAAGGATTATAAAAAATGTGAATTGCTAGCCCTAGCTGGTTTGGCTCAGTGGATAGAAAGTCAGCCTACGGACTTAAGGGTCCGGGTTTGATTCCAGTCAAGAGTACATGCCTGGATTGTGGGTTCGATCCCCAGTGTGCAGCGTGCAGGAGGCAGCCGATTCTTTGCCATCACTGGTGTTTCTATCTCTCTCTCTCGCCCTCTCCCTTCCTCTCTGAAGTCAATAAAAATATTTTTTTAATTTAAAAAAAAAACATTTGGTAGGCCTAGCACAATTGTTAATAAAAGGCACATCATTCACTCCAGTCAATAATTCCCCCACTAACTATTTTGGCTAAAATCAAGAGAGTCCAAGATTGGCCTGAATCACAACAGAATGAACTTCGCAGTACCCAGAAAAGGTCAGATTATCTGCCACAAAGTAAACAACTTTGCAAACCAGTTTCAAAATTTAAAACGCAAGAATCTGAGAGATGTCAGTGAGTAACTAAAATGCCCCTAAAAATCCTGCCGTTCTGCCAGAGCGAAGTTAGGACCAACCAGGTCGCTCTCAGCGCACACGTGTCTAGCCTCCCTTCCCTCCCATTACTAACCCTCTTCTCAGAGAGGTGGCGGTCCTTACCATTGCGTTAAGCTGGGAGTTGCTGGCCTGCGTGATGCCTAGAATGTTGGTGGTGTGCATCACTTCCACTGAAAAACTCGGCAGCCAACTTGCAATCCGGGACCCTGAAACAGAGAGACAGCACCGGTGTAGAGACCTGAACAGCACTCCTCCGAGGAGAATGCCAGGAGAAACGTGAACACATCCAGTTTAGTCCTGGGATTTACGGAATTCGACAGGATGAACTACAGGATGGGCCACAACCCCTGGAATGTTAAGTGTGGTTTTTATTCTCACTCCTCTCCCCTCGCTCCTCTGTTGGGAGGCAGAATGTTCATATCTGTGGGTAAACAAACAGGGCTCCAGCTCTGCTTCTGCTTCAGACACCACTGGAAAGGCTGCTCCGTGACCTGCGTTCCCGGCTTGAGCACTACACCAACGCGACCAACTGTTACCAGCAGTTGGCTGTACAGTGGTCAGGAGCGCTCCTTGCAGGCATTTTACGACTCCTCGTCCCTGCCCCACCAGCCACCTTCACACAGAACCCAGCAGAATGCCTGGTACACAGTAACCCCTCAGCACTATCGATACCTTCTGAACATTCTCAATTGAAACTGAAATGTTACATTACAATGGCCTGTAAGAACCGTTTATAACCGAAACAGCATCAACCCCTGGGTACTGTTTCAGAGATTAAAACACGCTCACCATCGAAGTGGAAGAAGTGGTTGTGCTGGTTTAAGCGAGGTCTGCCCTCAGCGGCTGCCACAGGAACCAAGTTCTCATCCAGGTTCTCTCCGGGATGGTCCTCCCTGACGCGATTGTTGTCGGCGATGTTCAGAGACATTCTGCATGTCGGGCAGGAGGTGTCCTGTTCTAGCCAGGAGCGAAGACAGGAGCTGCCAAAAAGTGCACAATCACCTCTCCTCAGCATATTTTGTGAGAACTCACCAGAAGTACTCTGAATGTATCAAATGTGTTGTCATTTTACTTTCTATTTACCACTAGGTGAGACTTAAATGTTGAGAAACATCTGTTGACATGACCTCTTTGCCCTACTTCACTCTAACATACTTCTAGAATGTTCAGCTATGAACATTAATTCATTCACATGCATGGTCATCTACCAAGACCTTTCTCCAATATGACCTCATCACACGGCTCACCATGTCCCTTCCCAGCCCTATTTGAGCACCCGAAAATGCATGTGGCTGAGTTATTCTCTACTCCAACGATCTGTTCTCTCACGCTACGTTAGCTGCCCACTAACGCCGTCATAACCTTGGCCTTCTCTTCAAAATCCCGAAGGGCACCTGGTCAGGCTGAGGTCACGTCCCCACTCCCTTGCTAGGATTCGTATTGAGCACCCGCACACCCCGGGCAGAACGCCAATCCCCCGTGGCCCTTCCCGAGCTCCTACTTGTGGAAGAGATGGCCACAGGGCAGCTTCCGTGCAGCCTGCATGGAGTCCCAGCAGATGGCACAGTCGTCGTTATTGACAGCCAGCTCCTCTGGAGTTGCAACTGCAAACCTGCGAACGACAGAACGCACCCGGCAGGAATCAACTCCACAGCGTAGTCCAAGCACCACTGTACGGACAGGAGGTGTCTTGCTCTAGCCGGAAACGAGGACAGGAGCTTTTCCATCAGCACAGTCACAGAGGAACCCAGTAAAAAATTGCCACCATCAAAAACAGTACACCTGCTCTCCTTCATGGCCTATCAAAGAGCAAGTGAGGGGTTTACAGGCAGGAACTTTGTCCTGACCATGGCTCCTGTTAGCGATGACTCCAGGAAACATTTCTGGGCAAATCAGAGGAGTGAAGACCCCCAGAGAGCCAAACAGTCCCCTCAGGCACAAAGAGGGTCCCCGTTAATCGCACACTTTCAGGCTTGTTTAGCCTCAGGCTGGCAAGTGAGTACCTCCTTCAATGCGGATAAGAGTGTGAGTGTGAGTGTGTGTGTGTGTGTGCCCGCGCGCGCATATGTGTGTGTAATAAATGCACATGAGTAAAGAATAAGTGAGACCCACATTCTTAAAATAAGGAGGACAGATGCCCAAAGAAGCTCCCATATAATAATGATGATGATAAAAGTGACATAATAATAAGAACCTAGTATTTACTTAGGGTGGTAAACACACAATACAACATACAGATGATTATTGTAGAATTGTATAAGTGAAACCTATATAATGTTATTAACCAATGTCACCCCAATAAACTCAACAACAGAAAAAAAGAACCTAATATTTACTGAGCACATGCTAGTACGCAGTACTAGAATACTCTAAGTTGACTGCACCTAGCCTCCCATGAATCCTCCCAATAGTTCCAGGAGGAAGGTTCTGCTATCATCCCGAGAGGAAATACATAGAGAGTCAAAGAAACCGCTCACAACCACAAGGAGGTGGGGATTCACAGCCAGGCAGTCTGGCCCCAGAGCCTACAATCTTCCCCATCCTGTTAGCAGCTCACAAAAGCAAGTTCTCATACAACCCGGGATCGGTTATCATTAAAGAGCTAAACTGAGACAACGTGGGCCCTGTCAGCTTGTGCTTGCTCACCTGGCTTCCATGTTCCCAACGACATGCAAATAGTTCTTGTGCCGGCGGATTCGGCGCTGGACCTCATGAAACAGGTACCGCAGCTGCATGAAGATGACCAAGCTGGCCATGGATAACCAGATGTTGCCAAATAACTTCACAAGAGGGGAAGAGAGTAAAACACACATGAAACATGAATGTGAACCTGCGAGTGATGAAGGGGAGGTGTGCAACAGAAGCTCTTAATTGTTATGTATTTGGATATGGGAAGAAGCAGTAAAGACAACAAAATGTTAACAGTGATCTCTGAGCGTCTGTTGGGGGAGAGGCGGTTTTTTGTTTGTTTGTTTTTTAACAAAAACTATACATTTTTTTCCTTTTAAAAGGGTATCTTTTCAAAGTTACTTTCAAAGTATTTAGAAATGTGCAAGTCTAACCCAATAATTTTTAAATACTTCTTTAATAGGCTTATAATTTAAATAAACCGCCTGCCAAATATGCTAATTCTCATCATTATTAGATCACTTAAGTGCTAACCAATGAAGGAGTTCAACATTGTCATTTCTTGAACACCAAAAGTAAAATGTAAACAATGAAGGGGATTTAAGTATAAAGACATTTTTTACTACAAAAATGGAAAATGTATGACTCATGAAGTAGCTAACTCTGCAAGAATTCCCATTACCTTCTACAAAGAAACCGCTAAATATTAGAACACACAGAAACTATGGGGAGAGGAATTCCCTTAACTTTTTGCTAAAGAATTATCTATTGACTTGGGCAGCAGAGTTAATAAGCCTCCCAGGAGAGTCAGCAAACTTCCCCTGAGCTGGGCGCAGTGGTTCCGGGACACGCTTTATCCCCCGTGGCAAAGAGAGGGACGGGCACAGCTGCGCTCATTGGTATGGTCTTACGTGGCTCATCCAGCAATGTTTCCCTCCTTAGTGTACTATCCAGGGTTCCTGATTCTGAAAACCTTCGCTCCCCCTGAGAAAACTTACCAACATGTGGATGTGATGCATGAGGTCCAGAGATAAGAGAGTGAGCTCCATGACAAAATCTGTGTAATAGACATACGTCCCCTTCCCTTCCCATGTCCCTTCGTGATTGAGGTCCCAAAGGTGGATCACGTATCTGCCATGAATACAAAAAAATTATCTTAATACTCTTTTGTTACAATTGAATTTGGTTTAAACATGATAGAGGAGAGTCACATTTTAATATATTTTATACATTTTATATCTTAAAATCAACTGTATGGATAGATCTCAATCACCTCCCTCCCGAATTTCTACTCACCGCAAAATCACATGAGCAGTCCTCACTGTGACAAGAAGAGACTGTAAAAAATAAAGTCATATTTTTCCTTTGAGTCAAATTTAGGATTCCTCAGGCCAAACTTACTTTTACAAAATGATAAAAGTTAAACATTGCTCAGTTTAATTTAAAAGCAGGTTGTCAAGGGGCGTGGGGTGGGGAATTGGATGAAGGGGGTCAAAAGGTACAAATTTCCAGTTATAACAATAAGTCCTAGGATGTAATGTACAACATGATGACTACGGTTACACTGCTGTGTGGTATATTTGAAAGTTGCGAAGAGAACAGATCCTGAAAGTGCTCATCACAAGGAAAAAAACAGTTTTGGTACCGGTATGAGATGATGGATGTTAACGAAATTTATTATGATAATCATTTCACAGTATATGTAAGTCAAGTCATGATGCTGTACACCTAAACTTATACAGCACCGTATGTCATTATACCTCAATAAAACAAAAAGGAAAAAAAGGCAGGTGGTTCAAGTTTACCAACCATTTTCTTCTATCTGCTTCAAATTTCCATGGAGTATTTTCATCATCTAGCAACCCAGCTTCTCTGAGCCCTTCACTATTGACAGGTGACAAGCAATTACACCTGTCCATCTCCTAAGGCTGCCTTCTATAATCTGAAGTCATCCTCGTAGTTGGATGATCACTTCTATTTTATACAGCATTCAGTGACACCGCTGGTTACCTAAGAAGGTTTTTGGTACTTGGTGACCCCACACCCAAAGTACAGTTTAGACAGCACTACCCGCAATATGAGCACCTGCTCTCCACACAGCGCTGTGTGCACTCCCTCTGCCCACAGGGAAGAAGAGAGAATAAAGGAAACAAAAACAAAATAAAACCCTCGTGGTACTTTGTGTTATAGAAATTAAGATTTTCCTCTTAATCTACCAGAATAGAACTTTAAATTAATATTTGAGATTAGGACACTCCCAGTTATAAATGGAAAATATTTTACCATACATAGAAGAGAAACACTATAAATATAAAAATATAATTTAGCTCAAAATAGCACACCTATAGCATGATAAATTATCTTAAAAGAATAAACAGTAATGAACTAAAATAAAATATGTACTATAGTATGATCCATAGGCCTAATTTAAGTGTTTTCATTTTTAGGTATACCTTGTTCAAAAGTTGGCTTAATATTAATTAAAAGAGAGCCAAAAAAGGAAAACACAATATTATTCAAATGATGGTTTATAATAAAATATATCTAAAATATGCTAATTAACACTAGTCAGTGTAAAGTTGTAGACAGATATTTTTCAAGAGAAAATATAGGCCCAGCTGGTATGGCTCAGTGGTTGAGCGTCAACCTATGAACCAGAAAGTCACGGTTCGATTCCCGGTCAGGGTACATGCCTGGGTTGCAGGCTCAATCTCTAGTAGGGGACATGCAGGAGCCAGCTGATCAATGACTCTCTCTCATCATTGATTTTTTATGTCTCTCTCCTCCTCCCTTCCTCTTTTATTGATATTATTGAAATCAATAAAAATATTTTCTTAAAGAGAGAAAATATAGTTGTATACTTTGCACATATAGAAAGTACTCAACTAGGATTATAAATGTTTTTAAGTACTTAAATGTTCCTTTCCTAATTTTACTTACACTACTATACTCAGAAATGAACGCTATTAAACAAAAAAACTTTAACCCTATTCCAACAAATTCCCAATACTTTAAACTTAAGTGTTTTTAGTATTAGCTCATCAGCTTTAATATATTTATTTCTTTTTTTTCATTAATAATAGCTATTATGGACAAGATAAAAAGTATTTTGTCTTTGGCCTGAGGAAAAAGCAGAAATCAATATTTTCAAAAAGGTCTAAAAAGCAAATTTTAAAATATACATGAATATCAAATTATTCGTTCAAAATAATATATTTTAAATATTAAATTATTCTATAAAATCTTAGTTCCTGCCCTACCTATGAAAAAACAAGTATAGAGTACTCCTCTTTACTTACTACTAATCACTGCGTATAGTGTCTTAAGGGAAAAACCTTCCTACTTGGGAGTCTCTGGACTTAGATTGTGCCACTTGCCACTCTGGAACCTTCAGCAATTCACTTCACCCTCTATGCCTGAGTCCCCATCCACGAACAGGAATAATAAAATGAGTAAGTACATGTAAAAATGAGTCAATACAGGTAAGGCATTTAGAACAATTCCTAGTAAATAGTAAGCACTACTTAACTGATGGCAAAAATAACCACTTTTAGATTGTAGAAAGAATTATATGAAATAACACAAATGAAAGCATTCAGTACCAGTACCCAACACAAAACAGACTCAAAAAATGCTTGTTAAAATGAAAGACAGATGTCCATCAGTCACTTCATGGGTGCAAATACCTGTCCGTCCTCCTCTAGCTTCCTAGAAAATATTCAGAAATGGGATCAGAGCAAAAGCCTGTCTGCGTCTTACCTCCACGGCCATGAAAGCCAGCGTGTGCATCCCGTGGATGTAGCCTGTGACACAGCAGATGACCGCTAGCCCACAGCAGGAAAGCAGCATCGCCATCAACAGAGACAGCACTCGGCCATGGCTGCTCATCGGTGTGGTGGGAGAAAAAGAGAGCTGAAACGCACAAAACAGGAGAGGGAAGCTCATTCTTCCTCGTGGCAGTGAGAAACTCCAGGTTAATCTTGGTGGCTTTGCTTGGGGCTCTGTGCTTAGCTGCGTGGCCCAATGCGAATCACAGAAAAGCACCCCATTACCAGATGGCCCAAATCCTCCAACCAACCAAAATATGAGCAGGAGCTGAAGTATGGAGCTCTTTATCATTTAACCTCCTGAATATAACAACACACATTATATTTTCATCTCAAATTCTCAAGGATCCTCTTACCAGCAGATCATAAGCCTCTAGAAGCAATTTCCAGAGGCACGTCCCCTCTCCTAACATTTAACAGGGCTCAGCACAGCACCACTCCTGTTGTTTCTTTCTCATCTTGCGCTAGCCCTCCTCCCCAAAACCACCTGGCGGGCCCTTGGAGTCTGCCAGGACTAGGACAACTGAAATGTAACCAGGTGCAGACTTACTACTATAATGCTGTGTTAATATAAGCAAGGAGAGGCAACAGCTCGGAAAAGCAGGCCTGGAGCTGTAGGTCCTGAGCAGGAAGGTGTAGACAGCAAACCGGTTAGGGAGGCTGAATTGTGTAAGCTGTAGCCTTTGAGACTGAACTAACTCACACAGAGGGGCAAGAGCCGCTGGCCCATGACGACGGGTAAAGAAGGGGCAAACAAGGCCCGGGTGTGGGTTTCACTGGAGGGCAGAACTGTAGGTTACCGGGTTCATGAAATGAGTTTGGGAGCACGCAAGAGTGAGGGCTCACCCGCAGAGCTCTGATCTGACCTAAAGCCACGATGCAGACCTTGTGCCCAGATGGAAAAGGATTCACTTCTCCTGGGACCAGGGAAACCAGAGAGCTAATTCAGTCCTTGCCCAGGGGTGGAAACTAATCAGAAAGGAGAGCTCCGAGAACCAGACTAAGAGGGAGCAAATGGAAGGAGACTAGAAGAGGAAATTTCTGGAAGAGACCAGCATTTATTCAGTTTACATATTAAGGTTTCTTGCGCTGTGATAGAAACAGTTTGTGTAGGTGAACTGGCCCACGTGGGCTGTAATGTAATACAGGACTGGATAGGGGAGGAAACCTCCCTGCGAGACACTGATCCCGCATTCCTTAGCTGCTGCACAAAGTCCCTCAAGAAACAAGCAGTGGGGCCCTCGCCGTTTGGCTCAGTAGATAGAGCATCGGCCTGCGGACCAAAGGGACCCAAATTCGATTCTGGTCGAGGGCACGTACCTTGGTTGCAGGCTCCTCCCTGGACCGAGCCCTGGTCAGGGCTTGTGCAGGAGGCAACCCATCGATGTGTTTCTCTCACATCGATGTTTCTGTTTCCCTCTCTCTTTTTTCTCTAAAAATCAATGGAAAAATATCCTTGGGTGAGGGTTAACAAAACAAAACAAAAAACAAAAACAAAAAAAGAAAAAAGTGGGTACCGGATCCAGGAGCCTTCCTCTAGAGAGCTACCCCAACATGCCTAATATGGCTCATTCACATTAAAGGATATAAACCTGGCGAATGTGCAACACAGCAAGCCAAGGGCGAGGCTGAAAACTCACATATTCAAATCGGTCCTTGCAGAGCTGAACCATCAGGTGCAGAAAGACAAGTCCGGCAAACCAGAGGCACCACATGACCACCTCTCCCACTGTCTGGACATTCAGCACGCCGAAAATGAAAATGAACTTGTAGAAAATAAAGTTCCAGAACTTGTCTTTGAGGTGCTACAAAGAGAAAGATTTACAAAAGTTAGTACCATCACATCTGACCAATTTAAGAGAAGTTATCAAACAAAAGCTGACTTCTATGGAGAAAATATTCTATTCTCAGCTCTATCACTTGTCCACAGAAAATAAAAGGCAAAGGAAAAAATAAGCCCTCTTAAGAATAGAGAAGTCACCTTGAAAGTAATTTGCAAATTCCAGATTGTAATCCTAAATCACTTACGGAATTTTAGCCACTAAAAGGGGAGAGCTATTAGTCTAGTCTAGCGCCTTATGAATTAAGTAACACATATACTTCCAACTCGAAGTAGAAAAGAATGGGGGCGACTACAAGCATTTTTACCATGTTTGCTCTCTGGATTCTTACAACAAACAATAGAAAAGATTAGACTTTTAAAAATCCTTCAGATTAAAGAATAACATAAGCTCATTTGGCAGCCCATAATCAATGTAAGTACCCAAAAAATGCACAACAAAAAGGCATCAGCATTAACATTTCACTTATCACATGTAAGAACCTTTCCAATGTCAGTGAATATTCTCTGAATATATCATTTAAGTGGTTACAGATGAACACTGAAACTGGTTGTAATTTTTCGCCATTCAGAAAATGGTGTGAGTGTCTATGAGCGTCTATTTCTTCACCATATCGAACCATCCACCAGACTTCCAAAGTCATGAAAGTGCACATCCCATGGCCAGTGCATATCTGCCTCACTGTACTCTCCCCTACCTGCACTGAGGACTTCCAGTTTTAAAAATCTTTCCTGTACTGGCCCTGGCAGCTACCTGCACTGAGGACTTCCAGTTTTAAAAATCTTTCTGTACTGGCCCTGGCAGGTATGGCTCAGTTGGTTGGGCATCGTCCTGTGCACCGAAAAGTTGACAGTTTGGTTCCCGGTCAGGGCACATGCCTGGGTTGCAGGTTCGATCCCTGGTCAGGGTGCATACAGAAAGCAACTGATCTCTGTTTCTCTCTCACATCAATGTGTTTTTTTTTCTCTCTCTCTCCCTCCCTCCCTCTCTCTCTCTCACCCTCCCTCTCCCTTCCTCTCTCTCTAACTGCTTCAATGAAAACATTTTTAAAAAACTCTTTCCTATACTGAAAAAAGGGCAGTGAGGGGCATCTAGCCAACAGATATTAAAATATACTATCAAGCCATCTATGGGAGTGATGGAGTAAAAATGTGACTTCTAAGTTTACTTTATATATAGTTTTGAATCATGTAAATGTTTCACAAAGTCAAAAATTAAAACAGAAAAAGTAAAATTAAATAAAAACTGAACTTGAACCTAAATGTGTAACAACTTGATACACGACGATGTAAAGAATGTTCTTGGGAGCTTTTACAGATGGTACTCTGATGTACACCCTCTGAACAAAGAGCAGAATGACCCAGGAGTCCTTGGTGGGGTATCTGTTTCCAGATCTGGGGCAGGTAGAGCACAAAGTGAACCTAGAACATTGTGTGCCCTGGTTTGAATCTTCTCTCCGTCATCTATTTGCTGTGTGACTTTGGGAAAGTCACTTAACATCCCCATGCTTTGGCGTCCCCACCTATAACATGGGTCTTTTCATGGCTTCTATCTCATACTCATAAAATGTTGGGGAACTAAGTAAGTTAATATACGTACAGCGCTTAGACAAGTGCCATAATAGGCATTAAGTGCTTAAAACACTTCCTGGTTCTAAACCTCCACTTTACAGTTTAACATTTGTCCCATTTTAGGTTGTCTTTGCCTCTGGCATTCCTCTAGTCTTGAACTTTAAGCACTCACAGAGCAAACCCATGTCAATTCTGTGGAGTCCTAGCTCAAAATAATGCTTAATAAATGCTACTGGATGACATTAGTCAAAAAGCCATCACAGAACCGCCTGACAATGCTCTCTATACTGAAAACACTGGACACAGAGCTGAGGAACAAATGTGCCCATTATGATTACCGCCAGGTCTTGAAAAAATCTCTGGAATACTCCGAGGTTGTTTTCTGTATGTTTCGAACTGATCCTTAACATTTTAGAAAAAGAAAGCAACAGTATCTAAGGCCCACGGTGCCAGCTCAGTCCATCAGCAATTAGACGGCTTGCCTGGCCTGACCAACTTCTGGCCCACAAGTCAAAAAGTTTTTCTTGAAGAAGAAAGCATCAAAAGAAGCTTTGTATCTTCCCCAAAAAGCCGACATTCCACTGATCCCATCTGGGAGACCTCTGGAGTTATTTTGGAGAAAGTGATGATACTAATGAAAAGTCTCCGGGAAAACAAACAGTCCTGCTCATAACAGCACCCAAGCGCTCCACCCCCACAGTAAGTGCATGTCAGCTCTGAACCAAGCCCTTGCTGATCTGATAACAGGAGATCTGGGTTGAAAAGGGTAAGGAAGGAGGGAAGCCATTGTACTTTTAATGGAGTAGGTTCCTGTGTCTCACCACTGAGATAAGATAAAGTAAAATACAGTTTGGTTTGTATGTTGTTATTTCAACGGCCAGTTCTAAATTCTTATTTTAAAACACAGCATTCTATACTCTATCCAATAAAAGCTTTGGGGGACTGCTGATCTGTGCAGTATCTTGTGGAATAATTCATTATTGAAAGCATGTCCTGCTCACATACATATTCTGAGAATAATGTTCAATCAGACTGTCTCACCTAAAAGAAGAAATCACCTAATTTCCTGCTTGTAGAACAGTCCTAAATTACTTTTCCAAAGGGAAAAATTAAAATCTCTCGGTAAATTCCTTTGGAAAAGAATTCCATACTTTAAAGACTGATAGTTATGATTATTTAAACTAAAATCTGTGCATCTTTTAAAACTACGTTCATAAAAGTCATGGGTAAAGCAGCTATAAATAATATCGGGACAACTTGGTTACACTGAATATGGACTGCGGATGACGTAAAGTATTTTAATCAATGCTGAACTTCCTGATTTTGACCATTGTGCTCCAGTTATACGAGAAAATGTCCTTGCTCTTAGGAAATACACACTGAAGTATTTGGAGGGAAAGGGCCTATGATCACCACAACTTACTCTCAAACAGATCATAAAAAATAAGTATATAGAAACAATAGGCACATGTTAATGCAAATGAGGCAGAATGTTAACTGTGAATCAAGTTCTTTGTAGCATTCGTGCAACTTTTCTGGAAATTTGAAATTATATCAACTAAAAAAAATCTGGTCCTAAGAATCCATCCTTGCCGCCTGGACTTACCTGTCTCTCGCTCACTCGAAGAGGGCCGAACACGATGCACTGGATTAGCTTAGCCATCAACATCAAAACACAGCAAGCAGTGTTGACTAGAACCTGCACACAAACCAAAGAAAGAAAGCTTGCTTCCTTCTGTTGAAAACCAAAGCAGCTCTAAAACTTTATGTTAGGAATCCAGCCCTCATTCCCAAAGACCAGCCTTTCCAGTTCTCTACCAGCACAAGGTAAGTAATGTTTGAAGGGCACACTTTCACAAGGTGGGGTGGGTACACGGAGAGGGAGGAGAGGCGCCGGGAAATTCACAGGCCTGTTCCACAATGTACCTCCAGAGGCCACGGTCCCCTTTAGTCTTAACCAACCGTGTGTACACTTTGTGCTGCATGTGGAGAGCTCTATGTACCTTACAAACTGTAGGTGCATCATTTCCTACATTAAGATTCTGATCGCCACAAAGAAACGTTTTCTAGAAAATGAGGTTTATCATGAACAGCAAAATTCAGTACCCAAATACCCCGCCCTGCCTGTCAAACAAACAGGAGGTGGGGAGAAGAAGGTGGGTGTCCACAAAAAAGTCACAAGAGCATAAAGAATTGAGAATCAAAATACATATGTGTATTTTAAAATTCATTGTAGTGGGACAATCTGCCAATCAAAAGGTACTCTATGCTTAGTGTTGGCCTTAAAGGTTCAGGGACATTAGAAGGGACTGGAAAATAAACCAGTAAGGAGGTAGAAGAAAACTGGCAGGAGGGGCTGAGAACTGAAGGGCAACCATTAAACTCCAATGCAAACTCAAGGCCTTCTTCAGCAGTAGGTGGGCATCTTTTTAAACTAATTGGTCGGTGTGGGTCAGTGGTTGAATGTTGACCTATGAACCAGAAGGTCAAGATTCGATACTCGGTCAGGGCACAGTAGGGGGATGTAGGAGGCAGCCAAACGATGAGATGTTTCTATGTCTCTCTCCCTCTCCCTTCCCCTCTGAAATCAATAAAAATATAATTTTTAAAATAAATAAAAGAGATGGGCAATCTAATGCTTACAAAATGAGAGTGGGCTGCCCCTGACCATGAGGCTAATGTGGCACAACACATTACTGGTGCTCAAATGATTTTTAAAACACTGCATGACCCCAAAAAGCCAAAAGAACCTTGGTAAGGACAGTAAAGATGGCTTTCATTAGAGCAAATGAAAATGAACACCAACTCAAAGTAAAGGTTGCTTCAGTCTTTGATTCACTAAGTTTAAATGAAGGTGGCCATATTCCTCTTCCCAGGTCATTTTTCCCCTCTACTTTTAAAAGAAGCAAAAATGTTTGTTTGTTTGTTTTTTAAATATATTTTATTGATTTTTTACAGAGAGGAAGGGAGAGAGATAGAGAGTTAGAAACACTGATGAGAGAGAAACATCGATCAGCTGCCTCCTGCACGTCCCCTACTGGGGATATGCCCGAAACCAAGGCACATGCCCTTGACCGGAATCGAACCTGGGACCTTTCAGTCCGCACTATCCACTGAGCCAAACCGGTTTCGGCCGCAAAAATGTTTGTTTTTACTGAAAAAGGAAGGAAGGAAGGAGAGAGAAGAGCCAGAAGAGAGTCATATAAGGAAGCAAGCTCCCTAAGATCTCTCCAGGTTCCCCTTAGCATCTCACACATCATCCACCCTTTATTAGAATAGCCCTGATTCATTAGAAAAATATTAAATTATGTTTAGTTCTATTCTGCCTGCCTAATGGGGCAAGGAAGTGTGTGACACATTTTTAAAGAACTGAAACAAAAATAGTTCTGCTGAAAATAGAAACTGTTGTGGTAATTAAATCCTTCAAATAACCAGGGGGAAAATCTCAAATTAGTTATCCAAAACATCCTGTATCCCTAAGGTAGGACTCCCCGTAGAACAGCCCATTCAAAACATTCCAACAAATGGCTGAGGATCCTTATTTTTAAGGCAATGAAATAGATAATGAAAAGCTCACCTCCATTGTGCTTCTAAACCAGTCAATGGAAACCTCTCTCATGTTAAGAAAATCGTCCTAAGACAAAACCACAACCACAACTCCTCAGGCTACAGCCCCCGGCTGAACAAGATTCTTAAGATCAGTCAAAAGTGCCCTAACCTAACTACAGCAGGCTTTTAAAGAGTTCTCCCTGCCTTTTCACGCAGGCAAATGAAATGAAATGAATCTCACACATTTAGCTCCCCCACTCAAAGCTTTTAAAACCTAGGTGACACAGAACTTGGAGATATCTAACAAGCAGGCTGCTGTGAGAGCAAAGGGAAGAAATCAACTCTAGGGTTGCTTAGTAACTGCTCTATCCCAGCAGCATTCTCCAACACCTTAGACTACAAAACAAAAAAAGTATTAGTTCCTATTTCTCAGTTAAACTTTTTAAAAGAAGTTTTTCTAAATTCAAAGAAAGGTGTACAAATTTTGTATCTTTGATTTTTAAAAGATAAGAGCCCAAAACAAAAAGCCCTCATAATCCCATCACCCACACATTACCATTTCCTATTTTTAAAAAATATATATTTTATTGATTTCAGGGAGGAAGGGAGGAGAGAGAGAAACATCAATGATGAGAATCATTGATCGGCTGCCTCCTACACGCCCCCTACTAGGGACTGAGCCTGCAACCGGGACATGTGCCCTGACTGTGACATCCTGGTTCACAGGTCGACTTCAACCACTGAGCCACACCTGCTGGGCTCCTATTTTAATTTCAATGGCAGAGCTAAATATTAGCAAGGGTAAGAAGTGTGGACCCTGAGAAAGAAGATACCAAGAAGGGTTCCTGGTGACTAAGTGGGCTCAAATGTAAAAGCAGGGCACAGCACCCATTTCTAAGCAGGGTCCTCTTCACCCAAATTGCACTTAAGGGAGAAGCCTGCACTGAGCTATCTGCAGGCACTGTGTTCCTGCTACCTGAACCAGCCCTTATAAAGGAGTTCCTGGAATCCTATTTCAACCACTAGGACCGAGGCATTCGTAATCTATTCAGAGCTGTGAAGCTATATCACCATCAGCATCTTGACCAACCAATCAGAATGGCTCCATTCTGACCAATCAGGACAGTGCCTTTTGGACCAATCAAACTATGAAGACTTGGAGTCCTCATTTGCATGAAAACAGAAAGTCAGCTGCACTCTGACATAGGGAGTTTACTTTCTCTTTCCACTGAGGAGTGAAGACTCTGACTCTAGTTGAAACACTGAAGACATCTTGCTTGGAGCAGAGTGGAGCAGGCCAGCCTGGAGCAGAGCAGAGCTGTCCAGCCAGAAAGGGGCCTCACCCCAGGGCCATGTCACAGCCATTGCTTCCTCATTGAGCTGTAACACTACTGAGCTGATCCACAGCTGTGCTGTTCTCACAGCCCTGTTGTATCATCATTGAGCTGTTTACACTGAATCAAGTTTCCTTCTTCATCGCACCTCAAATTGGGGATTCCTGTTGGCACTGAATGAGCGCCAACTACAATCAGTTGACAGAAGGGAAAAAAAGGCTTGAGAAACTATACAGATACTAGAAAGGGAAGTTTTGTAAAAAAAAGAAAGAGATACCATTTGCGAACTTTATAGAAAAGCTCAAACTACATAAAACTGGAAGCAACTAAAAATTTATAGGGAAATGTCTTAATTTCACAAATATTGTGTCATTCCAAAAAGGATAGGATATATTCTCTCCTTTCAAAACTAAATTACAAGCTAGTTTGACCTTCGAGGAAAAGAGAAGAGGGTGTTAACACATGGCCTGGCTCGTTTATCACTGTGTAACCTTGGGGGTACTGTTCATTTGGTAAAATGCTGGCCGCCAAGGGGCATTATTTATGAGCTTGTGATGAAATGTGGTTAAACTACCAGGAATTGCTTCAAGGACATGATGAATATACGTATTTCTTAGTCTATTTAACACCAGCACTAACTACCCCACCCCCACACACCATTTGTCTCCTCCCTTTAAGGACCACTGGACTATATTACCTCTCTGCAGCCTCCCAGTGGCAAGTATAAGATGCCAATAACATGCAAAGAGGCATATGGCCCCTTATTACACTTGTATTCCCCTTTTCGCAATACTAGGGAAGTAAAGGAGATCACGTACGCAAAGCACTCAGTACACATCCAGCAAGTAACCAAGTAGCAGTGTCTTCCTGCTAAGCTGGAAGGTTTTTCCTGTATTGAGTTGTTTGTTGAGGCTTATATCCTATTATTTATCAGTAGTCTCTTTCTACAACTCCAATATTTATGGAGCTAACATTTTTCTCTAATTTTCTTTGGAATATTCAACTCATACAGACTCAAGCCTAGTAAATTATTTTCAGTTCTGAAGTTGTATAGTTCTGTGAAGATGGGCTCTTCAAAGCAGGAGTCAGCAACATTTCCTTTAATGGGCTATCAGTTAGTAAATATTTGGGACCACACCCTGTCATATATTCTTCCTTAAAAAGTGTAAAAACCATTAGTGGTTGACAGGTTGTACAAGAACGGGTTGGGCCTAACAGGCCATCACAGTTTGCCAATCTCTGCTCTAAATGGTCAGTTAGTTTACTTTTATCCATTTTTGTTTCTGGTGATTATTTTCCCTTGAGACTTCTATTTAAATTATTTTATTTGCATATAATTGAGTCAGATTTGCATATAATTAAGTCATTGTTTCATATTTCTATTTCACCATTTTACCATGTCCTTTTGCAATTTCAGAAGCAAGTTCATACCAAAAAAAAAAACCAAAAAAACAAACAAACAGAAAGGAGGAAGTAATTAAAAGAATGAAGAAGTGGAAACGCCAAAACACCTGAACAATTCACAACAATGATAGAATGACTCAAGGGGTACCTTAATGGAAGGATCATATGGAAAGGTAAAATAAGCCTAGAAATGAATAACAAATAAAACCTATCTGGAATGAAACTTTCTAATGAAAGTTCTAGAAAGACATGAGGAAGCAAGTGATCACCTCAAACCTGAGTATTTGTCAATATAAGAATCCTGGTGCCTCCTCTCCAACCTGCTCTCAATGTCCATGCCAGAGGGCCACCTGGAGTGACGTCCTTGCAGGGACGAGGTCTTAGGTCACTACATCTCCTGACTCTTCCCATTTCACTGCTGCCACAGACTGTCCCCTGGAAAATCACCTCATCATGACAGCCCTCCTCCCCTGAACCCTATGGCCCAGAAAATAATGTCCATACTCCTTAGTGCTGCGGCTAGATCTATAGAACCCGACATTAGCCCCACACCCCACCCTCTCCCTAATCAGTTCCCTTCCAGGGGTGTGCCTCAGATCGCCTTGGACATGAATCAAAATGAAGATTCCAAAGCTCCCTCCTTCTCCCTGGACTTGATCCCCAGGTAGAGCCTGAGAATCTACATCTTACAAGTACCCCAAGTGAAAACGGACCAAGTTGCCAGGTGTCCACACTTTGAGTAATACCTTCGGAGGGTTGCTCACCTCTTCCTTGCTCTCACACAGAGGGGTCACTTCCCCCACCTCCTGCGTCTCCCCTTAACCTTCCCAAACAAGCTCACTCTGAAATCAGGAGCCACTAGCGTTTCAACAGCCCAGTTTATGGACCTGTCTGTATCCACACTCTACACTGTCCACACACCACTCTGAGGTGGTTTTCTCTACCTGCAATGCCCTGTGCTGCTTGCTGAGATCCCACCCATCTTCCAAGGCCGGGTTCAAATACCACCTTCCAGGCATCCTTCCCGAGGCACCCGTTTCTCTTGCTTCCAAACTCCACCATATTTTCTTTGCATGTCCATTGTCACTTACCAAATTCTGCCTTATCTGTATATGGACTACTTTTGAGAGGAGGGGGAAATGTTCACAGTCGTGCCTTCCAGAATGCCGCAAAGGGTACTTTTGAAAAGTTTATTAATCAAAACCTCCTGAGATGCCATCAGACCTGCATGAATCTGCATGGATTGTGCTCTATGAAGATACATTTCAGAGATTCCAATCGCCAAACACGAGCTAGCAGGATTTGCAAACTGGCAGAAAGATCAGTTTTTGTTTTGTCTGGCTTGGTTTTTTTAAATGGAATCGGAATGTCTTTGGGCAGGGCACAGAAAGGATCCACTTTCACAAATGCCCCGCCATCTATTCCCCGGGTTATGCTGTCTCTCCACCCGGGGAGTCTTTGAGATTGGGAGCACTACTCAGCTACGAAAGCAGAAACTATGTACTTACTGGATGATGAGGAAACCTTACAGCAAACACATGGAGGGCCTGAGAAACCAAGGCAGGTCAAGGTGAAAGTATGAAAACCACAGAAACCATGGAAGAAAATCAGTAAGATCAACCGAGAAAGGGGAAGCCTAGCAACAGATAGGCAGAAACAGTAAATTTGCTTGAGGCATGACCGCTATTGAAAACACTAGGAAGAAAAGAAAAAAGTGTCTTAAATTAATAATTTTCACAGGAAAAGGATCAACAGGCTTTGTTTTTATGAAGGGGCGTGTTAACCTTGAAATTTGAACACTGGGTTCTATAAAAAAAAAAAAAACTCCTGGGGCCGGGGGGGGGGGGGAGGAATCATTAAACAACAGGAGTAGTGGTTCTATAAATACCATAGTGGATCCCTCTCAAAGATCCATTTATATCCTAGACTTAAAAAATATATCAAAAACTATCATCTTAACACGTGGCAAAAGCACTCTTCACATCACTTGGAAGTTGTTTACCTGCTAACTCAAATGCAAAAATAGATTTGAAATTAAGAGATGGGAGGAGTTCTTTCTTGATATGGTGCTGCCTGGCCCAGCTGAACGCAGAAGTGGGAGAAGGGAACTTCGCCCCCCCCAACCCCCACCCCCCACACTGCCTTCTGCAAACCTCTTTGTCAGGAGGCTTAATCCACGGCCCACAAGTCCCACCGCTTCTTGAGGAAGCACAGTGGGGTTAATTAATTATAACACACAAGCGGCACATCACCTACACACTGGAAGATTAACCTCAGTCATTTACCGCCGACTCTC